GATTTTTGTTCATTCTTTAAATGTTTGGTTGAATTCAGTGAAACCATCTGGTCCTGCACTATTATTTTTGATTACCGATTCAATCTCTTGGCTTGTTATAGGTCTGTTGAGATTATTTCTTTTGGGTTAGTTTTGGTAGATTGTGTGTTTCTGGGGATTTTTTTCCATTTAATCTTGATTATCAAATTTACTGGCCTGCAGTTGTTCATAATATTCTCTTATAATCTCTTTCATTTCTTTTAGGTAGTAACATTCCCACTTTTATTTCTGATTTTAATTATTGACATTCTTTGTTTTTTGTGATTAGTTCTTAATTTTGGTGATCTTTTCAAAGAATTATCTTTTAGTTTCACTGATTCTCTCTTTGGTTTTCTAATCTCTTATTTTGTTTTTTGTTCTGATCTTTATTATATACTTCTACCTGTGCTGGCTTTGTGTTTAGTTTGCTTTTGTTTTTTTAGTCCCATAAAGTATAAAGTGAGGTTGTTGATTTGAACTCTTTCTTCTGTTTTAAAGTAGGCATTTAGAGCTGTAACTTACCCTCTGTGTACTGCTTTTGCTGCGTCTCATAAGTTTTATTATGTTGCATTTTAATTTTTATTCATTTCAGAGTGTTTTCTGATTTTCCTAGTGATTCTTCTTTGATCCATTGGTTGTTTAAAGTTATGTTGTTTAATTTCCCCATATTTGTGATTTTTTTTCCAGTTTTCTTCTCTTATTGATTTTAGTTTCATTTCATTGTGGTTGGAGAAGGTACTTTGTATGATTTCAGTCTATTGAAATATATTGACAATTGTTTTAGGGCCTAACATGTGGTCTGTCCTGAGGAATGTTCCATGTGTACTTAAGAAGAAACTGTGTTCTGCTGTTGTTGGTTGGAGTGTTCTTTATATTTGTTAGGTCTAGTTGGTTTATAGTGTTGTTTAAATTCTCTAATTTCTTTTTCATCTTTTGTCTAGGTATTCCATCTATTATTGAAAGTGGTATATTGAAGTCCCCAACTATTATTGTAGAACTATCTAGTTCTCCTTTCAATTTTGCCAGCGTTTGATATGTTTGGTGCATATGTATTTACAACTGTTATGCCTTTGTGATGAATTGATCCTTTGTCAATATATAATGTCCTTCTTTATTTCTTATAGAAGTTTTTGACTTAAAAATATATTTTGCCTGTTGCTAGCATAGCTATCCTGGCTGTCTTTTGGTTTCTATTTCTATAGAATATCTTTTTTCCATCCTTTTACTTTTAACTTATTTATGTTTGGGGGTCTAAAGCGAGTCTCCTTTAAGCAGCATAAAGTGGGACCATGTCTTTTTACTCCATTCTGCCGTTACCTGTCTTTTAATTTGTAGTTTAATTCACTTACATTTGAAATAATTACTGATAAGGAAGAATTTCTGCCATTTTGCTTTTTGTGTATGTATCACATCCTTTTTGTTGCTCAAGTCCCCCACTGTCTCCTTCTTCTATGTTTGATTGATTTTTTTCTTGTGTACCATTTTGATTTTTTCTTTTCTTTGATGTATGTTTTTAAGTTATTTATTAGTGGTTGCCAAAGGGATTTTTAACATCCTAAATTTATAACAATGTAGTCTGAATTTATAACAACTTAATTTCAATAGTACACATTAACTCTACTCCTGATCAGTTGTGTATCCCTCTTTTCTTGTTATGGTCACAAATGATACTCTCATGTTTTGCGCCCATTAATATAGGCTAAAATTCGTGACTTATTCACACAGGAAACAAAAAGAAAAGTTACAAACAAGACACACAATAATACCAGCTTTTATATTCACCTGTGTAATTGCCTTTACCAGTGATCTTAGTTTCTCTCTATGTCTTCAAGTACTGTCTATTGTCTTTTTGTTTTAGTCTGAATAATTCTTTTTAGTATTTATTGTAGTAAAGGTCTACTAGTAATGAGCTTCATTAGCTTTTGATTATCTGGAAATGTCTTAATTTCTCCTTTATTTTTGAAGAATAGTTTAGCCAGATAGAGAATTCTTGGTTTACAGTTCTTTTCTTTTAGCACATTATCATCTCACTGCCTTCTGATCTCTGAGCCTTTTGATGAAAAATCTTGCTGCTTTTAAGATTTTCTTTCTGACTTTCAGCAGTTTGATTATTATGTGTCTCTTGTGAATTGCTTTGAGTTCATCTGTCCTGGAGTTCATTGAGCTTTTTGGATATATAAATTCATACCTTTCATCAAATTAGGGAAATTTTCAGCCATTTTTCATCAAATATTTTTCTACCTCTTTGTCTTTTTCTTCTCCTTCTCATAGTATATATGTGGGTATACTCAGTAGTGTCCCACAGGTCCCTTAGGTTCTGTTTGCTTTTTCTTCATTCTTCTTTCTTTCTTCTCTCAGACTGGGAGGAGACTAGGTAATTTTAAGCATCCTATCTTGAAGTTTGCTGATTCTTCTGTCTTCAGACTTCCTGTTGAGCCTCTCTAGTGAGTTTTTCATTTCAGCTCCAAAATTTCTATTTGATTCTCTTTTATATAAATTCAGTCTTCTATTCAGATGCCCTACTTGTTCATACATCCTTATTCTGATTTCCCTTAGTTCTTTATTTATGGTTTCCCTTTGGGCCTTTGGGCATATAGATAGTTAATTTAAAGGTTGTGTTTTGTTGTTGTTGTTGTTGTTGTTTTGCTGGGGGGGAGTGAGTGCAAGCAGTGGAGGAGCAGAGAGAGAGAGGGAGAGAGAGAGAATCCCAAGCAGGATCCACACTCAGCACAGAGTCCGACATGGGGCTCGGTCTCACGACTGCAAGGTCCCGACTTGAGCCAAAATCAAGAATTGGACACTTAACTGACTGAGCCACCCACGTGCCCCTAGATAGTTAAAGTTTTTGTCTGATAGGACCAATCAGTGTTGGATTTCTTCATTGGTTTTTGTCACTTTTTTTTTTCTATGAAAAGGCCATTTCCTGTTTCTTTGTATACTTTGTACTATTTTCTTGAGAATTGATTATTTTAGACAGTATAATATAGTAACTCTGAAAATCACATTCTCCCTCCTCTCCAGAGATTGCTGCTGTTACTTTGGAATGTTGCAGTTTTCTGTTTAGTGACTTTAACACATTATTTTTGCAAAGACTATATTCCTTATTGTATGTGATCATTAAAGTCTGTGTTCTGTTATCTCTGAGGTCAACCTGTGATTTCTTCCAATGCCTGGACTTAATAAAGAAAAAAGGGGTCTTTGCCTCTTTAAATTCCTTTGACAGGCATTGCCTGGGAAGCCCTTCAGCCGTAGGGGTTTGAAACAGTGGCCAGTCTCTCCCTCCTCTCTCAGTGGACCAACAGGCAGATCCGAACACACATCCCCAGTGTTGGAGGATGGGTTCCTACCTTGGTACCAGCAAGCCATCCTGTGAGTATGGGCCACTGTTGCCACAGCTGCCTTCTCTAAGGATGAGGAATGCATGGTGGCAGCTGCTAGTAAAATGTGAAATTCACTGATATATACCAGCTTCTTTCTTCATCAAGCATTTTTCAGATGCTGCAAGTGTCTAGCGGGACCCCAGAGTTCTAAAATAGTTCTTGCCAGCTCAGTAGTTGATTTGGTTTAGGGACTGATTCCTGGAGCTTCCTGCTCTGCCCTTTTTGGTGATGTCACCTATTTATTTTTGTTGAGATAATAATGTCCATATTAAAATGTTGTACTAGCATATTTAAAAAATTTTTTGTTTAAGTGAAACTGATAGGTATTTAGTGTATATATTGAATTACTTTTTATAAGTTATTTACCATTATATCTGTCCATCTCATAAATTAGGATAGTTGGCCCAAAAGATGAAATTTTGCATCAATATATATAGCTATGTCACTGTACATCACTACATTGTATCTTGTGGCTGAGAAAATGGCATTTCTTTATTGTGTCTGTAGTTGGTCTGGTTTTTTATCCTGCTACTCCATTTGGTGGGAGACCCATTGATTAGGGAAAAAAAATCCAATACAATTTAAAACTTAATCTGGTATGATGACTGAAATATGTAAGATAAAATTGCTCAGTCTTTGTCTGCTTTTTTCCCTGGGATGATTTAAGTGTGTGGGGTGAGAGGTATGGCCTATATGATATTCTGGCAGTGGGGAACTGCTTTTTCCCCTTAGTTCGAGTTCTGCTACTTCCTCCGGTTTCTAGAAGAGTGTCCTATTACCTTCTAGTTGTGTTTGCCTGGCTGGCATGTGCCGATTATGTCATGGCTGGTGTAACTTATGGTGGGGCCTTTCTGGTTGGTAAGAACCTAGTGGTGCTCCCTCACTGGTTCATTTTCTCTTTGGCTCCTTCTCTCTGAGCTCTCCCGGGCATCTGCCATGTCTGTATCTGGCCTGCTGGCCTGGAACTTAATCCACAGCCTTTGCTGCAGAATCTCCCTTGTTTCACGGTGGGCCCCATTGGCCAGCCCTCTAGCTCAGGAATCTGAGTCTCAGAGTTTATCATTACCTGACCGTGTTTGGAGAAACCTTCACTCAGGATAATGGCCTGGCACTACAGTAAGACAAAGCACTTACTATGTAATCCTTCTCTGTATGTCAGATTCTTCATTTTATCTCCTCACACATCCTTCACTAGTTAAACCTAATAACTTTTCAGACAGATGAATACTTCCAACAGACTATGGCAGAGGTCACATACTAGGAGAGGCAAAACAACAAAAATAGTAATTTTCAAGCATCTTTGCTATCACATGTGTGTATATAGACATATATGAGGACAATATTCACAAAGGTGTATGTAATTCTAAGTGTACACAAGTCTTACATTTAAGAAATATAGGATCTATAGAGAGGCATAAGTGGTATGCTTACACATATAGGTGTATATGCAGTATATATAGAGTTAAGATCTATATGTATATATAACATATATAGTTAAGATATATATAATTAAAGTTAAGAGGTTTGGTTTCCATCTATGAACATTTTCCCATGACTAACAACGCTGTGATTTAACATACACTTTTTTTTTTTCTTTTGTAGGACCGTTCGTGTATGGCTAAAGAGAGACAGTGGACAATATTGGCCAAGCATATACCATATGATGCCTTGTAAGTATCTGGATCCCTGTCTTTAGAAATTAGACGTGGACCACTTCCTTTCCAGGTTGCCTTCTCTGTGTTTCCTTCTTGAGTGGGGATGTCTGAGGGTTGAGATTAACCTTATGATGGAAAGTACCATATTAAATCATTTTAGCTCTCAGTATGTAAAATAGGAAAATTGTTCTGAAATTGACCATATATTCATAGTTTCTGAATAAGATTAATGGAAGACGGGCTATAGGACATTGGCTTTCTGATTACAGCTGTCTCCCTCCTTTCCAACTTTTTGTTTCACTTTCTTGTGGAGTTCTTCCTTCGACATTTAAATTTTTGCCTGGTGGTTACCTTTGTGAAGTAAATTTGTTCTTGCACTATTGTTATATTATTCATTCAAATACAAGACATTCAGCGTTGACCATTTGGTACCCAGAAGGGCTTGCTTACAATTGAAACATTCTAAGTAGAAGTCAGCCTCATGTCCTCAAGATTTTATATGCGAAATACGTCCTTGTGCCGATAAATAGCTAATCTTTAAATATATTATAAAACATCCTTAGATTTGATTCTTAGACTTGTGTGCTGGCAGAAGTTCTCCTACAGAATAGCTAGCACCTCTAAATAGGAAATGTCTTTTTAGCCTGGCATTTTGTCTTTAAAAAGTGATGAGGTTTGGGGATCCTATTCCATGTTTATTTGAGTATAAAATAGTTATTTAATTTTGTTATTAGTTATATTATTCAATGTTTCCCTGACTCTCCTTCAAATCTTAATTAAAACTGACACCTTAGAAAAATCCCTCAGGTTTGTCCTTTGGGCCTGTGTCCCCTCCGGCTTGCTATAGCGTGCACCCCGTCCCTGGATACAGGTACCCCAGTTTGAGAAGTATGGGCCACGGTGTACAACCGGAATAAATTCATGCTGAATTATAGATGTGATTAAGTTTATGCCTCTGGCAAAAGAATGCTGTAATAACTTAAATAGCTATTTTGCTTGTTTATGAACGAATGAATTATTAAGGATATAATGGGCTTCTGTGATTTTCAAATTATCTTTGAGGTTTTGTGTGGCTTTAGAATTTTATAACAAACAAGTGATAACCACAAGCTGAACCAAGTGGTCAGTCCTGCATGAGGGAAGAAGAAACTTCTTGTGGTTCTGAGGACTTGTATTGGCCCCTTAACCTGTTGAGCCTCCAGCAGACAGCATTTATGCAGCAAAGGGCCTAGGTGAACTTCCTCTTTAAGCGGTGGCAGTGACGAGGGCTCAGGCAGAAGGAAAGGGAAAGGAATTTTCTGACTGATTGTTTTTTCTGATCTTTGAGTGGTATAACCAGTCTTTTCTACGATCTTCCCTTTTCATCAAACCTGACACGGTATCTAACTGGAGGAGTGGGGAAGGTCTGTAGTCCAGCAAGTTGAAGTTGACTCTAGAGATCTGTTACTACCTTGACTATGAAGACAGAGGAGAGTTAGACCTGGGCAGAAAGATGAGGGCTCAGGGATGGTAAGCAAGGAATCTTCTTGAGATGAACTTGAGTAGGAACCTCATGGAGACAGGATCCTAAGCAATTGCTTATGCGCCCCCTTCCCTATACACACATCTAAACCCGTTTTGCTGTCATTCTGTGATGCTGTCTTTATTTGAATGTCACTGAGAATACAGAGATGCCTCTAGTTGCTTTTTTATCATTTATTCAGCTGTGTGAATGACGAAAGGCTGCTGTGGCTCCTACACCTGGCAAAAGTGCTCAGTACATCAATACTTATTGAAGACTTGAATCTGATAATACAGATAAGTCCCTGAGAACATTATCATACATATTCCTAGTGACTGAACACAGTCTTTGAGATTCAGAAAGAGGACCCTTTCATTATTTGTGTATTTTGCCTGTGGCCTTCCATAAAGGGAGTGGAAAGGGCATTACCTTGCTATTAAAATGTGTGTGAACCAGCAGCATTAAGGTCACCCTAGAACCTACCAAAAATACAAGTATTGGGTACTATGCTAGATCTATAGAATCAGAATCCGCATTTTTTTTTCTAATTTTTTTTTCAACGTTTATTTATTTTTGGGACAGAGAGAGACAGAGCATGAATGGGGGAGGGGCAGAGAGAGAGGGAGACACAGAATCGGAAACAGGCTCCAGGCTCTGAGCCATCAGCCCAGAGCCTGACGCGGGGCTCGAACTCACGGACCGCGAGATCGTGACCTGGCTGAAGTCGGACGCTTAACCGACTGCGCCACCCAGGCGCCCCTGAATGCACTTTAAAGTGCATTGAGAAGAGTGTCTTCTGACATTATAGCCAAATGCTGATCTATTTTACACATGATTCTATGAGCACATACAAAAAGCCTCATGCATGTATAGTATTGATTTCTACATACTTAGATATAAGTACACATTCTAGTGGATCAGATATTTATTGTGCCCCTGCTGTATCCAGGCCACTGTGCTAGTTGCCAGGGTTTGCAGATAATTAAGGTGCATATGGTCAAGATGATTTCCATAATCTTTCATTGTTGGATAACTCCACTACTGTGGAGAAGTAAAAAGAACGATATGTTCTTCACAATTGATCAGAGATTGGCTTTTATGTTCCTAGGAGTTGAATGCATTTAGATAACATGGTAACTAATATTTGAGCAAGAGTCCGTTTTATTTAACTTGAGAGAGGCAGAATCTTGTTGCATAAGGAATTATGCTATATTTTTGGACACTTAGAAAACCTGAAATAGCTTTGAATTTCCAAAGGTTTGTTTTTCAGTTCTTCCTATTGAAAGGTGTTTTGTTAAGAGATTACTTAGTTTTGTCCTTAAATAATGGTTATGTGGTATTAGTTACAAAATAAGTAAAAAGATACAGTATGTCTGGAGGCTACGACATGGACATCACAAGGCACATATGACCATATAATGTGTTTATAGTGGCATATAATAAGTAGTATTCCAAATCCAGAAGAAAACATAGAGAAAATATCTTTACATGTAATATATGGCTTACTTGTTTATTTCATTTATTAAAATTTAATATAGTATTTGTCATGTTCTGGGTAGGATAGTACTGTTTTGTAGCAGCGAGAAGCAGCGAGAGTTTAATGGGTGGGAAGAAGGGGAAGGCATTGGATGAAAAAGAATGAATAGTGGAGACAGAGTTTGATGGTTGGGAGAGAGCCTGAAAGGCAGGGATTTATGATAAGACTGGATGAACTTGGGGGAGTGGTACACAAGGGAAGGGTAAGGAACAGGCACATCGTGCTTTGGGGGTGTCCTCAGACCTGATCTTTTCTGAGAAGCTCTGACTTCCCCTTTAGGAGGGAATGAGGAGAGGCCAGACTTGCCTGGTTAAGGCTGTTTGCTCCTGAGCCAACCTGATTTTCCCGGAATTTAGAATTTGGAGTAGGAAATGCTAAGTTTCAGCCTTGGCTGGTCCCTTGAGCTGGGAATATGTAGACCTTATAGCTGTGAGTAAAGAAACAGTGAAAGCTGATCCACTTAGAAGGAAGTCCGAATCAAGGAGGAAGGACCACTTGGCTCAAGAGGGAGAGAAGCCTAAATAGATGATGCCCGAGGCTTTTCTCCTCCTCCCCTCCAGAACCCTGGCTCTGCTTCTGCCTTTGAGTTCAAGAGATTCCCTCTTTTACTGGATACATTCATTAGTGCTTCCTTTCACTCCAGTGGGTTTCCGTCACTTCTAACTGCAAGTATCTAACTCAGCCTAGCCCAGATTGTATACCTCCCAATTCCTGTCCGTTCACTTTCTCCTGGATCTCTATGATCTTTAAAGAGAAAGGACTGAGCCGTGTCCCGATTGGTGCCACTGTGGTGCTGAGCTGCAGATTGTCTGCGAAAAGTGAGGGTGAGTAAAGAAAAAAAGCAGAAAGAAATATTTATTCCATTTAATTTCTTTGGACAGTTCATTCAACAAATTTTAAATGTTTCTGCCATACTAAACACTGTGCAACGTCCCAAGAATATAGTGGCGAGGTAGGGCAGATGATTCCTGTCTTCATGGTGTGTACGGTGGGGAAGGCAGACCTAAAATAAGCCCCACTCATGCTGTGTGGTGAGTGTTGTCACAAGCAGCAGGTGTAATGGAAACATGCTCACAAAGGTTCCCAGAAGAAAGTCCATTTAAAACCCTGCCGTCTCTAGAGAATTTGGGGTGACTGGTGACTTGTTGTGTAGTTTCCTATGTGCCGATTTTTATGGATGAGTGAGAAATAAGAGCCTTTCCTTATCTAATATTCTTCCAGAAAATAACATCCTCTTGATGTATCTCCTGTAATAGCTGCTTATTGCCTGTGACAAGATCAAATTACACTGTGCCCAACTGGGACCTGCTTGAGCTTGGAAACCAGAGAGGGGCCTTTCTGAGGGTGTAGAGTTGAGGTTTCAGTTGTAGCCATTAGTGATTATCTGTTCCAGGCTTCTAGTAGATACCATTTCAACCCCTGCCTTTGCATCTCTCTACAGCAGGAAAAACAAAACAAAGAATGAAAAGCATAGGTATTCCCATTTTCATGGTTGAGTTATTTTAGATTTACTTTTTTAACTAGGTTTGCCATTCATGGGGTCAGACAGAGGGGTGGAGGAGAGAAATCTCAAACAGGAGCCAAAGTGGCAGGTGTTTGAGATTTCGCTTACTCGATTAAAGTATTGGGTATCGTGTCTGAGCCTCCATTGCCAGCTTTCCCCCTTGGGCATGCAGAATAGGTAAAGCAGTTCAGCTGCCAAAGATGTGGTGAATAGGAGGTTGAGAGGCCCAGAGCCTCAGGACTGAGGGCGTGTTGGACAATTGGAAACCTCTGTGGGTTCTATAGTTGCCAGGGCAGATGAAATTTACTTTGGCTCCTAAGCGTTTATGAATTTGTCCCCAAAGCAAAACAGACAGTTTATCAAAGATAAATACAAATAAAAGGCACACCTAACACGGAAGTAAAATGACCTATTTTTCCAGCTCTCTGCCTTGGCGTGGCGGGATGGCATTTGCCCAATCTGGAGTTGTGCTG